TGGTGCTGGGTCTTCTCCTTCCTCCAAGGAATTGGTACCAGGAAAAGCTGATTTCTTTACTAAGAATCTCTTTGGTATGGAAAATCCCAAACTAGATATTGTTTAAATCAAGGAACAAACAAGTGCATTTCTTCTCCTTCAGCTGCCTGACCATAGGTTTTTCCTGTTCTCGATCAGACTGGCAATTCTAGATTCAGGCTCTGGGTCTTAATCTAATAAGGAAAGATATTCTGTCTCCTCTGCTCAGTGTCCTCACCCTGGTGCTAACTTGCTATAGAATTTGGGTGGGCACCTTAGGGTGGGCTCCCCCCAATAAGGTCTTTTGCTCTTAGTGTAGTCTGTCTCTTTCCCCATTCTGATCCCTGCTGCTCTTGATAAAGTAAAGCCAATGCCCAATATGTCAGCCAGAATTCTGCCTTACTCGGATGGGTGATAAAAATTCCCTCCCTGACTGCCAAAGAGCCTTCCTGTGTATACTGCCATGTTCCATCCCATATGGGATATGTGCTCCTAGGTTTCTAGGCCTTTGGAGAAGTACCATGACTATGGCCTCAGTCATGGCTCTGTCCCTGTCCTTTGGGAGATACATAAAAGTTCCCTGAGGGGCTACATCTGAGGTCAGGGACAAAGGCATGCCATCTTACTCTGCCTCTTAAAAATCTCTAAGTTGCTCCTTCTTGGAGTTGCCCTTTAAAAATTTAACTCTGCCCCAAACCTACTCCTCTGCTCGCTTCTAAAGAAAGAAGTCCTTCTGCTCAGTTCATGATATCTCTGTAAGACACCAGTGCTAGGATTCTGATGTCTCCTGTCCAGGCTTGTCTTGTTTGCAAATGAGGTCCTTGACTAGTTTCTCTGCACCATCATGGGCCCCCTGTTTCCTAAACATGGTTGTCCTGCTGCTTGGGGACACCAGGCCCAGGCCTGAGGGATGACTTTTAAGAGCACAATGAAAGCAGGCTGAGACAGGCCTTGCTGGCAGCAGAAGGCTCTGGGTTTGTCGATAGGGAATTCAGTATCAGGATATAGCAGGACAAGGGTGAGTTAGAATCCCACCAGGGCTAGCTACTTCTCTGATGAATGATAGGCTGAGATCCTAGGAAATGTACCTGTTTGCTGAGTACCTGTTATGTACTAGGTGCTTAACTATGTTAATTTAAAAAAAAAAAAATCCTCACGATCATCCTGTGAGATGGGTATCATTACTCTCATTTAGCAAACAGGGAAACTGAGGCACATACATGCTAAGCGATTTGCCAGGGGTCACACAGTGATAAGCTCCATAGTAGGCTTTCCACACTAGGTCTGCTTGGGCCCCAACAACATCATACCACTTTATAATGCCAAGGATTTTAGGGTTCTATTAGATGCTTCTCCCCACTCCCAGTTGAAATAAGTCCACCCTTAGATGGAGGTAGGTTCTTACTTCCCTGAGAGCAGTTGTAGCCTGACTCAAATGCTCCTACAAATATGAATCTCAGGAAGTTAGATTTGAGACAGTATAGAACTCCTGGAGACGGCCGATTTCCATCTTGGAATTGGAGTTCCTAGGGCTGGTCTTCCTCTAGTGGGCTAATTGGCCAAGATAGGAAAGGATCAGCTGCTGAAACATCTTTGGGGTTCATTTAGGGTCCCCAGGCTGGGGGTGAACCCTGAACATCTGGAACTACTTTGTATGTATTGGGCAAGACTTAGATTTATGGTGTGGGTTGAGCCTCCCCCCAGACCAGACTCCCTGCATTAGGGGTGGAGTGACCATGCCTCGTGCACTCTCCTCTTTACGAAGCCCCCACAGACTAGGGAACCCTTGCTTGCTGCTCATGTAAGTCTCACTGAATCAAGTGGAGGTGGAAACCAGCCCAACCAGCCAGGACCCTTGAGCCATGAGGCAGATAGAGCTCTGTCACGGTTTGTGATTCTAGGTCTGCTGATGCATTTATTTAATTAATGTCTATCCCCCACTCGACTAGACGGTGAGCTCCACGATGGCAGGGACCTGGTTGACTCTGCTTAGCCAGTATTTGTTCAGGGCACGTTCTGCCAGGGATCTCCGAGTCTTGTCCCCTAGTCTAGGAGTCAGTTTATCTCAGATGGGAGCCTTTTCTGCTCCGGTGACCCCAGTTTCTATAAGAGAAGGGCAGATGCAGCTGGTTTCTCAGGTGGACCTATCCACTGTCATTTCAGTCAAAAGTACCAAAAATAAAACTTTGCGGGGAATTGCTCAGGTCTCTCAGTTCTCGTCACTCATGTGAGCAGATTGCTGGTAACCTTCTCATTGACTTCTTTTTCCTCTCTCAGATGGGAAATACTATTTCTTGGGGAAACTGGCAGTCAAGGGAGACGGGATCAGGGTGGTCCGAGCCCGGACTTTGACATGAGGAATGAGGGTCAGAATGGGGCAGGGGACATTTGATGACTGACCTCTGGGGTTATCCAGAGAAACAAATGGACTTGCCCAGGCCGGGGTCAGGCAGGCAGTGAGGAACTGAGCTTGGAATCAGAGGTCTTGAGTTTAGCTGATGATACACCTATTTACGAGTGTGGACTTGGGTAAGCCACTTAATGTCTCTGGGCATCGTGTTCCTCATCGGTGGAAGGAGGGTGAAGACCTCCCCTGCCTAATTCAGAAGTTGTGGCGAGGCCTCAGACAAAATCATTCATGTCAGTCATAGAAAATTGTGCAAAGTTGAGTTCCTGGGGGTTAAGGTTGTGACCAGGAAACACGGGGACCTTCAGCGTGCATGCATTCACCATGCCTGAGTCTTCACGAAGAAGAGGCAGAACACGGACATGGTCTCTGGGAGTAGAGAGAGGAATCCAAGAGCCTTGTGTGCTCTGCTCGCTCTGCAGGAAGTCTGCAGGGAGGTGGACACATGGTGCGGAATGCACTGAGAGCCCATGCGGGGGAAGGCTGTCTCGGCAACAGTGCCCATGAAGACAGTCTGAAGGCTGTGGTTCTAGTGGCCTTTTGGCTGACCTCGCTCGATTAATCTAGGCAATCCTGAGGCTGTGGAGTGGAAACTTGGTAGATGCAAGTGGGGTATAAGCAGATTGGCTATTTAAGCCCAAAATAATCCGAGAGGAGTGTGTGACCACCCTGGGTGGCCATTCCAGGCCGGCTGGGACTTCCCTTAAACAGGAATTGCTTGGCTCCTAGACCCTGTGCTCTGGGGCTCTGTGGTTTCAAGACTGAACAAGCCTCTGTGGTCACCCCAGATGTACTTTAGGATCCTCCCCTAGCTCTTCTTTCTCAGGTTGTTCCCTTCAGGCCCACCCAGGTTTGTAGCTCTTCTCTATCCATTCCCAGTGACCACATGGGATCATGGCAGATCAGTCACTTGATGGTTCTAATCAAATGATGATTGATCAAATGATGGTTGACACTGAGCTCCTTGGGGCTGACAGGAATGTGCCTCTTAGGATGGGGCCAAAGAGGGGAAATGTCACTACTTTCCCCTTCTCTTCTCTGATCAGACTAGAAAGTCTGGGATCACCCGCCATCTTGGAGCTCTCCTGATGGAGACATATCAGTCTACATATCAAGACCCCATGGCTTGCTCCTTTTTGGCTGCCCCAGCAGTCTTACAAGCAACATCAAGTTGTAATTCAGTTGAGGTTCCACTTTCTTCTATCTTCTGAACACCCTTATTTTTTTTAAGATTTATTTATCTGATAGAGAGAGTGCGCGTGCACCGGTGTATGTGCGCAAGAGGGGATATTGGCAGAGGAGGGAATCTTCAAGCAGACTTCATGCTGAGCATGGAGATGTCCAGGGGCTCAATCTCAGGACCCATGAGATCACAACAGGAACCAAAAATAAGAGTCAGACCCTTAACCGACGAGTTAACCGACCCAGGCACCATTCCTCTGAACACATTTAAAGGCACTTTTTTGTTGATCTATCTTTTTCCACTCTGCCCTGGGTGTTATCCAGATTGCTAGAATATATGAGTGACGTGGTGATACCTCCTGGCCGCAGAGCTTTGCAGTTCAAACATTACTGGATGGAAAGCCTGCATTTACATGCATATGAGATCTCTTTGTTGGCCTCCATTAAAAAAAAAAAAGTAAACTGCAATCTAGTGTAAATTGGACGGGAGAGCCTTTCTGTAGCGTGTCAAGTCCGGTCTTTGGCCAAAGCCCAAGTTCTTTCTTCCTGTCTGGAAAAAAATCAGCCATTGTCCACGAATGCAAAGAACAAATTTGAAAACTCTGAGATCTTCAGCAGAAGACGAATGCTCACATTAGTTTTTCAGTTAAGGATGTGGATAATCCTTTGGCCGACCTGAGCTAAACTTTCCCAGGTGCCCTCAACTTCCTTGGGCCGAGAACACAAACAGACTTCTTTATATTAAAGTGAAAAGTGTCAGCAACTTTTATGACTTTGCTTTCAGTTAGAAGCTAGGACAAGTTTGTTAGCCCTAGGCTTGAATTCCTATTGTTCAATTATTTGTTTTTGGTTTTGCTACACGTAAAGAGAAAATTATTTGTTTTTCTCCTTAGAGTCGATTTTTTTTTTTTTTTAAATAATACTGAAGTTTCAGCAGCAAAAGAGAATAATATTTACTGTGGTTACGTGGAGGAATCCACAGTGTGTCATGTGTCCTTCTGGGCTATAGGAAGGTTTTGTCTTTCAAAATGGTCTTGTGTGGCTTCAGGCTTGAGCTCACCCAGTCAGTTATAAATGGAAAGCCCTTTCAGTGAGCTAGATCGTCAAGATGGGTGACATGGGTGCCTCTTCCTGGCTCCCTGAGGAGAGAAATCCAGGTTGTACCCTGAATCCCAACTAGCCTTTAGAGCAGGGATTTTTTTATTTTATTTTGTTTATTTATTTGACAGACAGAGATCACAAGTAGGCAGAGAGGCAGGCAGAGAGAGAGGAGGAAGCAGGCTCCCTGCTGAGCAGAGAGCCTGATATGGGGCTCGACCCCAGGACTCTGAGATCATGACCTGAGCCGAAGGGGAGGCTTAACCCACTGAGCCACCCAGGTGCCCCTAGAGCAGGGATCTTAACTGGTGTTCAACTTACTGCCAGGCCCTGGTGGTTCATGGGAAATCTGCAAAAGGACAGCAGCTGGGAGAAGGGTCTTCTTTCCAGAGGATCTTGGAGGCTGTTCTAGGTAACACCCATCTGAAGAGGCTCTCTGAAAGCTGCCTGGAGAAGTTACAGTGAAAATGCCCGGGTGTTGGCTCCACTAGGAGCCATTAGGAGGGACATACGTCCTTAGCCGAGTAGCTCCCTCACTGTGGTGTGAATGTGGTTTGCATGGGGTCATTAAATAAACAAGTGCCGACAATTTTGCATATGTGCTTGGTGATATTTATTATACCTTCTTCAAGGAACTGGAGGGCCACGTTTATTTAAATCAGCAGAATCCATACATTCCCTCAGCTCGGTGCAAAGACGCACAAGCAGAGTGACCATTCGGCTTGGTCTGTCATGGTCTGTGCTCTCCAGAAGAACAACAGCTGTTGGACTCTTATTTTTGTGATGTGGAGCATGTCTGGGTGTGTGGCAGGGGGAACTGAAATGTCTTCTGCTGACTTTTTATACCTTCAGATTTTTTCGTCGCTCGTTTTGGAAAAGGGAAGCCCTCACTGGGGCCAAATTTATAGGTTTTTCTGTAAACGGGTTTTTTTTGTTGTTGTTTTTCACCCAAACTCCACTGGTGACTGACTTCTAGTGGTGGGAAGGTAATGTGGCTGAACTTCTCACCGTGATAAAGGAGATTCCTAGCAAGGCTCAAGTTTAGGTGGAAAGACTTTTTCTCAGTGGCGGACACTTGGATGCTCCCAGGAGACTTAATGGGCCTTCAAACCACAGGAGAAATGGTGAGGAGGCGTCAGTCTTGGAGGACATGCTACCTGACGCTGCAGTTTGACGAGGGGCTGTTAAAATCTGTGGTCAACTCTGCTCTGGGACACTGGGCTTTCATCCCCTCTGCACATGTATTACCACTTTGACCTTCTGGTTTATTTTCTTTGCCTCTTATTATTACTTTGAGAAGTTATTTTAAGAATCTTAAAATTTTTCTTTTAAATATTCTAGTTTAGTTGTCTGTAAGCTAGCTCAGCTCAGGGATCCAGAAGCCCCGAGGCAAAGCAATCATCATTTCAGACAAAGTTCTTTTCCTATTCCAAATGTGTATCTGTGGACTGGTGGTGGTAGGGAGTACAGTGTTTACTGTAGAATTAGAAACGTTTATTGTTGCTTCCCAAAGGTCGGTGTGCAAGGCACTGATTCCAAGTTTTGGCTTTGCAAATACACTTGGCCATGGGGGTCCTTTGGGAATTGTCCTGAGGCTTCTGATTCCGATGGGTCGTGGCCACTTCGCAAAGACACTGTGGGAAGCACCCTCGCTCCTGCCTGCACACTTGTGGTCAGCTGCAGGACTCCCTGATGGCGGGTTGTGCACTCATAGGTGGGTAGGCGGGAGATCCTGGAGAGCTGTGGGAGTTTTGCGACTGCAGCAGGAAGAGGTGGGGACTTAGAAACTAGTCTCCATATGGCCGTTGTGCTGGGCACACCTGTTGACACTGTGGGTTCTGAGGAAGTCCAGACATCAGAGGCCGATACCCTCTACTCGCAGCACCTCCCCCAAGCCCTCTTTGTTCATTGATTCGAAAACAACAGGAGGCAGGAAGCGGACACTTGACAAGATCCTGGAAATGCCCAGCTGGGCCCTTGGCAACCAAGCGTTTGATGTGTCCACTTCATGGGGGGGAGTGGGCTCGGGAGTCCTGTGGGCCCTTCCCCAGAAGTGTACATGCAAATCAGAGGGGGTTAGCCTCATACCTGTCTTTGAGCTGGTCTGAGATGCCTGCCTGTGGGATCGAGCCTTTCTTGTGCCCCAGCTGAATCAGGAGTGTGACCACACTGCAGACACCCCCATATAACCCTGTTCCCGAGCTTCTCCCAAGTACAGCCTCAGGCTGTGCCCCAGGAGAGCTGGAACCCCAATCGCAGGCACACAGCTTGAGTGATATGGGTGTGAACAACGCCGATGTGGCTGTGCGCGACCGAGAATGAGTGAGCAGAGTGTGGGACGGCAGGTCGCCCCGTTCTCTGGGCCATCAGGCCCCACCTGGGTGGGCTCTGGGGCCAACGCTGGGCATCCACGATCAGGAGGGGAAGTGGCACATGGAACATATGCAGGGGTGAGGCACCCAGAAAGAGAGTTACAAGGATTCAGAACATGTCATTAAGAAATAGGAAGAAGGATGGGATGTTCATTCAGACTCTACAGGAGACCTGGTATCTGTCTCCAGATGCTGGACGGGGATACTACTACCAACACGAATGATAATACTAGCTCGCATTTATTTAATGCGTCCCCAGTGCAAGCTCTGTGTTAAGCATTTACTCTAACCGGCATGTACCTTTAGGATCCTCACTGTGCAGATGAGAAGGCCGTAGACGGATTATGAATGGCGAGCGGCATCAGAAGGCAAATGCAAGGAAAAATGGTGTTTGTTACCATGTGGCAGGTCAAGTCGGCAGAAGAGCTTCCAGATGGTGTCACTCCCCAGAGGAAGGCGGAAGTGGCTGGGGGCAGGGAAGGAAGAGAACCTGTAACATAGGTGGACGTGGCTTTGGGAGCACCCCTTGTGTTATGGCAGTGAGTCTGCGCCACCACTGTGGGACATGAATGAGCGAGGCCCAGGGGCATTAAAAAATCATCTGAGACCTTTCCACCTGTAAGTGACGGCCTGATTTGAATACAGGCTATTTTTGGCTCTCAAGTCCATTGTTAATACTGCTTGTAGGAATACCTGCTCACAGGCGGTCCTGGGGCTCTGGCCCCAGGCTGGGTCTCTCAGCTCCACATTCTGGTGTCCGTGTCCATTTCACACGTCCTCACAGCTATTCCATTGCTGTCTCCCCCAGTAGATTCAAGAGGCATGCAGGCAGGGCCCACTGTGGTGCCGTTCAGTAATGTGTTTTTAGTGCCCTAGGACGGTTGAGAGAATGAATGAGTATCGGTAGAGATCCCTTACAATGGGGAAAATCAAGAAATGGATAATCAATCTATTAGGACGTTAGAGGGGGATTCTTGTATGAGATCGGGGATGAATTATCAGTGGTTCTCACCCAGCAGAGCTTCAGAATCTGAAGGACTTTGAAAATAAAGATTCCTAGGCCCACATCAACATCCCCCAGAATGAGAACTCTCTGGGAGCCTGGGTAACCGCATTGTGCATGCCTTCCTGGTCAGTTCTGCTGCTCGCCCGGGTTAGGAAGCTGCCTTGCACACATCTGAGTCAGGGGTTCTCTGCATCGTGTGTCTCTAGGGCTCTGCACACCCCCTTTCCCTCCTCCCTCTGCCTGTCTCTGCCTGCTAGGCTTCCAGGTCAGGCTGTGCGTGCGTCTGGAGCATGGCTGGAGGTCTGGTGCTGGGTCAGGCCTGGGTTCTTATCAGCTGGGTATATTTACTGAGCAAAGTTCAGCCAGAGCTGAACTGTGGTTCCGGGTTTAATAGGTACCCAGGCTTTCAGGCTTTTGATCAGAGCCCAGGTCCCTGGTGCCCTTATCACTGGATGATAATGGACTCCCTGTGTGAGTCCCCAGGGCCAGTGGTACTCACTCTTATTGGCTGACCCAAGCCTGCCCTTTAAAGGCCTGGGGCCCTAGACTGTGGGCTGTCTGGGTGGGTAGACGGTCACTGCCCAGCCATGACCGCTGCTGGCTTGCTCTCCCTGGCCAGGAGGTGCCCTGTTCCAGCCCAGTGCTTTGGCCTCCCAGCTTTGATGACAAAAGGCACAGCGAACCTTCTCACAGCCGCAAGGCTGGACACCCTCTGGTCCCAAGTATGTGGCTCAGCATCGGGTATGTGTCCTCTGTCCTGCGGGCTACAGAGAACCCCAGGAACCATTCACCACAGTCCATTCTAAAGGTTTGGGCACATTCTAAAGGGCAGCACATTTCAAATCACCATCCAACCCGTTAATCAACAAAGACCTTACTGAGCTTGCTATGGACATGCTACCTGGGAGGATATCGAGAAAGAAGGTATAATAGTTCACCTTGACAAGTTCATAATCTAGTTAGGGGCATAAGAAATTTACAACCAAAGGGTTACTCGTTATTATACAGCAGACTGCAAACTTATTAAATGCTCACTCTGCACCTGATTTTATACTAAGCACCTACTATGCTTCTCATTTACTAGGCCAGTGACTCCTTATGACATTCCTTTATAGGAAATCGCATAGAGAGGGTTAGTAACTTGATGGGGTCACACAGCCAGAACGTGGCAGGGGCAGACCTCAAGGCCTGTACCATAGGGACTCAGAGTGCCTGCTCTTAGGCCAGCCTCTAGAGCCCCCTATGTGGACCTCCACATGGGTCTAAGAGGTTGGAGGAGGAAGCCACTTCTGTGGGCAGCCGTGGGCACCCAGGAGGGTTGTGCTAGGTCTTCAGACAGGACCGGTCAAGAAGCTGAGAAGTGTAAGCAGGAATCCTGACCATGGGAAATCTCAAGTAAAGACGAGGATATGAGGCGCGCCTGGGTGGCTCAGTGGGTTAAGCCTCTGCCTTTGGCTCAGGTCATGATCTCAGGGTCCTGGGATCAAGCCCCACATCGGGCTCTCTGCTTAGCAGGGAGTCTGCTTCCCCCTCTCTCTCTGCCTACCTCTCTGCCTACTTGAGATCTCAGTCTATCACATAAATAAATAAAATCTTAAAAAAAAAAAAAAGAGAGAGAGAGAGAGAGATGAGGACATGAGACATGCAAGGAACACGAAGAGAAGTCGGGGTTCATGCCCGGCCAGAGTCAGGGTGTATGTAGCACTTCGTGTGCAAAGTGGTTAGAAAATGGGTTGAGCTAACACAGCCCAGGACTTTCCATTGCACATGAAGTTTGCAGGCCTTAATCGGTGGGATGAAAAGGAGCCATAGAAGGTTGGGGCGATACTGGGGGAAACTGTCCAGGAAGTCTCGCGGGTCCTCCGTGTTCAGGCACAGCTGAGGGTGGCGAGCGCCCTGGGGTGGGGGCTTGCCCCAGAGGGACATGAGCACCAGTGACATTGCTTTTCACAGCGACAGCTCCAGAACAAGCCCCAGCCCCGCCCCGGCCGTACCAGGGCGTCCGTGTGAAGGAGCCGGTGAAGGAACTGCTCCGGAGGAAACGTGGCCACGCGAGCAGTGGGGCGGCTGTCACACCTACGGCGGTGAGCGGGCCACCGCGGCCAGTGTGTGTGTGCACACGCGTGTGCGGCTTTGTGCCCCACAGGGTGGGATGGGAGCATGCTTCCCTGCTCTATGGGATGCTCTCTGAGGCCAGGCAGCTGACACATTACCATGGTGTGGCTGATGAAGAACAGACCCGGGGTGGAACGAGTCAGGGATCCCCGTAAAAGTAGGAAGAAGGGGAGGGGCTGGCTGGCTCAGCGGGGGGTAGGGGGGGTTGGGGGGCAGGAGAACTCCCACAATCCCGGCCTGAGCTGGTGGCTTCCCATGGTAAGAGGACCCTGCCAGTTTCCTAAGTGCACAGGTTCTTGCTAAATGGAAACACGAATCCCCCTAAGTACAGGGGTGACAGTTGGTGGGTGGGTTTTGCTCCTCGAGGCAAGTTTTCCGAGGAGGGCCAGTTGGAGATAGCTGAGCACTGATCTGCGTCTTCCCTTCTCCCTCTAGGTGGTGCTGCCCCATCAGCCCCTGGCGACCTACACCACAGTGGGTAAGCGCTCCCGCAGCCCTGGGGACACCCCGCAGGCCCATCCGGGTAACACCTGCAGCTCTGCTATTTCCTTCTTCCCACAGGTCCTTCCTGCCTTGACATGGAGGTCTCTGCTTCCACGGTGACCGAGGAGGGGGCCCTGTGTGCCGGCTGGCTCTCCCAGCCTGCCCCGGCGACCCTCCAACCCCTGGCCCCGTGGACACCCTACACGGAATACGTGTCGCATGAAGCTGTCAGCTGCCCCTACTCAGCGGACATGTACGTGCAGCCCATGTGCCCGAGCTACACGGTGGTGGGGCCCTCCTCCGTGCTGACCTACGCGTCCCAGCCACTCATCACCAATGTCACGGTAGGTCTGACAAGCGCAGGGCTGCACCAACCCAGGCCAAGGGCCCCCGCGGAACGTGGGCTGACTTCCTGACCCCAATCGTTCCTGCTGCTGACCTGCAGGATAATGGGGTCGTCAAGCCCACCCCGTCCTGCAGGGAGGCCAGCTCCTGTTCCCAGTGACCTAAAAGAGCTGCCACAAAGAAGGATTAGGGCCATCCTTGTCGTCCCTCAGGCACCTCAGGGTTGGGATGTTCTCCAGCCTTTCTGCCCTAAGTCTCCTCTGCTGCCCCCAAAGCAGCAAGTCTTGGTTAGAAGTTTAAGTTTTCAGTGAATGGGGTATCAGGGAGGTGTACACGGGGCCTTGGACCAGAGTCCGTGTTCTCCTTCTCTTCAGGTAGCTTGGGGTGGGGGCAATTGTTCACTCAGCAATGGGATTTTCCAGGTGAGCCTGAGGCTAAGCAACAGGTGACACAACTTTTCAGAAAACTACTTTTTTTTTTTTTTAAAGATTATTTTTAGGGGGGTGCCTGGGTGGCTCAGTCGTTAAGTGTCTGCCTTCGGCTCAGGTCATAATCATAGGGTCCTGGGATTGAGCCCCACATCGGGCTCTCTACTTGGCGGGAAGCCTGCCTTCTCCCTCTCCCATTCTCCCTGCTATGTTCCCTCTCTCAATGTGTCGCTCTCTGTCAAATAAATAAATAAAATCTTTGGGGGGAAAAAAAAAGATTTTTAGAGAGACAGATCACGCATGTGAATAGAGGGAAGGGTAGAGGGAGAGAGAGAGAGAGAGAGTCCTCAAGCAGACTCCTCACTGAGCACAGAGCTCAGCGGGGCTCAATCTCATGACCCTGAGGTCAAGACCTGAGCCAAAACCAAGTTGGATGCTCAACCGACTGAGGCACCCAGGGACCCCACAGAAAACTACTGCTGATGAAGTCAGACCCACCCGCAGCGCAACGTTTTGAGTGCTGCCTCTAGATTCAGATTGCCTGGGTTCGTATCACTGTGCCTTCACTTAGGCGCTATGAGACCCGAGACTGAGTGACTTAATTTCTCTGAGCCTTGGTGTCCTCATCTGTGGTGTCCTCATCTGTGAGTTGCAGCGACATTAACCGAGGGCGGCCTCCAAGTGCCAGATGGGAAAGGAATGAAGAAAGCACGAGACATACTTTTACATGAGTGGTACCTGTTTGACCAAAGGAATGGGAATCCCCCAAGTGTTAAGAGGAGAAGAGGCCTACAGGTACAGCTGTATCCAGCTTCAGTTCAGGGAAGACTGGGGCAGGTAGACTCAGGTAGACTCAGGAGTAGCTGCAAAGCCCACATTGATGTGGGAGCTTGCCCACCCATCTCCTTCAAGGGCTCAGCGTCATTCTGACGCTCCTGCCTTTTCATCACCATCCAGGCAAGGGCCCCCAGAAGCCCTCCTACCCCATGCCCCCTGGCTACCCAGTGAACCAGTTGTGGGGCCTACATGATGCTGGTTAGGAAGGAGTGAATTCAACACTTTTCCCAAGCAACTCATTTCCATATCAGGAGCCTTGGGTGTGGATGGTAGGGGCCATCTAACTGGTCCCAGTCATTTCAGTCCCAAGGATCTCAAGGATTTCATTATTTATCTTTCATTAGCCCCACCTCCTACTTTGAAAGGCTCTATGTATCTCTATTTATTAAGAAGTAATTTATTTGCTTTATTGCTTTGTAAACGAATTCATCAAAGCTGGTTCAAGCTACCAGTCAGCACTCGTGAGGAGCAGGAGATAAGACCTCGTGTAGCACTGGGTTGACGGAATTCCATCTCTGAGCCAAGAAACCGTGTTGCCGCAGTGACCTGCATGGGTTTATGACTCAAAAAAAGGATTGCCCTGTGCATTTTTGAAGTACTGGAAATAGTAAGGCTTTGTTGGGAGGCTGGAAGGCCTTGGAGACTCTTTCCAGCTCCAGCAGTCTCTAGGAAAACACCCTAGAGACTTGCTACTCACACTGCAGCCCCTGGACCAGCCACACTGGCATCACCAAGAATCTGACTGGACATGCAGAGTCCCAGGCCCTACCCCAGACCTCCTGGACCAAAGTCTGCATTGTTACAAGATTCCCAGGAAACTGAAATAAGGTCATCCCATTAAAGTGAGCTCTAATGGTTTGTTCTCAGAACACAGCGGCAACTGGACGGGGGGAACTAGGGGCAGCAGGGGGAGATCTGGGCCTCGCTCACATCATTTCATGCAGGGACCTTCCTTTTCCATCTGCTTCCTCAGCTGTGGGAGATAGTAGGGATCCAGGCCCTGCCTCTCATGCAGGCTTGACCTCAGGTTGCTGCACAGGAGAGAGGCACTATTTGCAGGGCACTGAGAAGATGGCCCTGGGACAACTGGGGGGTGCCCAGCTCAGAGACGGAGGAGGATGAGGACATGGAAGGTGCTAGAAGCTCTAAGGAAAGTCTTGTCTACTAACAGAGTGGTGCTTCCCCAGCACCCAGGTCTGGCTCAGAGCACAAAGGAAGGGAATGGAGCTGTGTTGGCCCAGGTGGACCCCAGGATGTCAGAGCTGCCGTATGGGGCCAGGACCGTCTTTGTGTCTAGGCAGGACAGTGACCACTTTTGGGACACAGCTACTATGCCACAGGATGGGCTTGTTTTCACTGATTTTTAAGATGTACATGTCCCCCCACCCACATTTTAGTATACCTGAAGTTGGGATGGAATGTATATTCAATAAAATCTGGAAAAGTGTCTCTAATCAGCTCGGCCCTATGGCATCAGTCTTATTCCTAACTCTCTCTACAGAGGAGAAAATGGATGCTTGGGGAGGTAGCATGAGCGAGGGCGACAGAGTCAGGGACCCAGCTGAAGTCTGTGTGGCTTCTCCCTTGGGGGAGACTCTGAGCAGGTGGAGACAGAGCCCCTGGAGGGAGATAGCAGGCAAGGGGCATGGAGAGACCCCTACGAGGACAAAGACAGGCAAGGATAAGTGGGTCCCCCCGGCTTTGCTAACCCTTGGTCCTGTGTCTTCCCCATCACAGACGAGAAGCGCAGCTGCGCCCACAGTGGGGCCCCAGCTGGACGGCCCGGAGCACCAGGCACCTCTTACCTATTTCCCGTGGCCTCAGCCCCTGTCCACGCTGCCCACCTCCACCCTGCAGTACCAGCCTCCGGCCCCAGCCCTGCCCGGGCCCCAGTTCGTACAGCTGCCCATCTCCATCCCTGAGCCAGTCCTTCAGGACATGGAGGACCCCAGGAGAGCCATGAATTCCCTGACCATCGACAAGCTGCTTTTGGAGGAAGAGGATGGCGACGCCTACGCACTCAACCACACGCTCTCCGTGGAAGGCTTTTAGGGTGTACTCCTGCCTGGAATCCTGTTTCCTGATGCTGGGATTTAAAACAGGATTTAAAACAGGGAAGAGGATTCACATCTGTTTGGAATGGTCACGTTATGACAGTACTTGGCACCCCCAACTAGAGTGGAGACTTTCCCTCCTCCCTCCTTCCCTTCCTTCCTTTCTTCCTTTTCCCTTCCTCTCTCCCTCCATCCCTCCCTTCTATCCTTTCTCATTTCTTTATCCACTTCTGTTCCTTTTGGAGAAGCAATTATAGGGATTTTAGTGATGATATTGATGCCCCTGTTGCAAACCTATGACCCAGGTGCTTTTTTTTCTGCCTCATTTCACTCACTGGAGCACGCAGCAGCCTGGCCGAGCTGTCCTCAGGCCTGTGATGCCCTGCCCTGCCCTCTGTCATTTTGAGATGGATGGGGTGTCTTACCGTCCCTCCACAGGCAGACCCATGCCAGAGTCCTTGAGCTGTCCATTCCCACAGTTGCTCCTTCATTTGCTGTTCTCAGGGCCGGTCAGACTTACAGTATCAGGCAGCAGAGTCTCAAGGCCTGGGGCGCAGGGAGGCAGTGGGGGTGGTGGCCCTGGGAGAAAAGGGAACGTCAGAGTGGGTTGGGGCTGGGTCAAGGGACAGAGGAGGGAGGGGAACGAGGTGTGTGTATATGGGGGTGGAGGGCAGGGCTGGGTTGGGTTGAAAGAAGAGGCTGAGGACCCATTTAGCTCCAGATTACTGGGTTATTAAGGAGAATAAACTCAACAAAAATATTGTTTTAATGGATGGTTTTGCTGCTCTCCTTGAGGATACCTGCAAGGAAAGCTGGGCTCCTGTAACCAGGATGCACAGGTCTGACTGCCTCCTCCTATGGGCAGACCCCCCTGTGGTGCTTGCTGGGTGGGGAGCCAAGACCCACTAAAGCCCAGGGGTGACTGCGTCCTCGTTGCCTCACTGTGCTTCTTGTGTGTCTTAAAAAAACTCCATAAGCCACTGCTATGTGGAGCCAAGGCCTCCTTCCTAAGGACCGTCCTTCCTGGGGCCTTCTAGAGCCTCAGCTGGAAGAACCACTAGGTTTCATTTAGATTTTTATTGTTTTGCTGGGGAAATGCAGATCTGCAGGTGCTTGGGCACAGGTGTCGCTGGGGGTACAGGGCTGCTGACGGGCGCTGTGCTTTGAGATCCAGCACATCCGTCCACCAATACCAGTGTGAGTGTCAGGCAAACACGCTAGTTGGTGGAGTCATGTCCAAGTGACAAACTTTTCTCAGAAATGATGGCTTCATGGGCACATTTTCTTTCCCATCTTCAGTAAAAACTCCAGAAAGTTGCCTTTTATTGGATTTTTTTCCCTGCTTTGGATTATTGGGACCCACATTTCTCAGCATCTGCCTTTTAAAATCCTATTACAAATATCTAGAATTGTTCGTATTTGGACTTAATATTTAGATTTAAAAGGTTAAAATTTTCAATACCAAATTTACATCTTTGTTAGTAGTGATGTTGAGTAGACAAAGAAGAGGAGGCCTCAGGCCCATTTCGTTTCCTAGAGAAAACACTATGCAAGATTTTTCAGCTTATTATTTGAGGCTTTGAGATAACATAGAAACAATCTCCATGAGGGAGTCTCAGTTGGGACAAACTAGTATAGAAATAAAGTATAGAAATAAATCTTATTTGCTAAGATTTATATGATGACTTTTTTTTTCCTCCTTAGCTTGGCGTACAAGGTCTTGGTTGTAATAGTCTCTCTAGGTTTCTTTCTGGTTTTTCCTGCTAAGATGGAAACATTTTAATAAAGATTTGCTCAGACTTTTCTTTGCTAGAGTGTATTATTTCTTATCAAAATAATCCCCCTTAGCTTGCAGTCCCACGTCAGGCAAGGGGAGTATAGGCAGGAGCCTACACGAGTCTTGTTGACTTTGCAACTTGATCTACGGCAAGGGAAGATGGAACCGGCCCCACTTGCCCGCTGTTCAGTTCCCGGGGCAGAACACATGCGGCCAGGAGGATGGGTCTCCAGGACAGCAGGGATCTGAGGCAATGAAGGAAAACTTCTAAAACTATTGCCCTTGGTGCTATTCCTGTTACATGTGTAAAGTCCCATGATGCTGGGTATCCAGAGGGTAGTTCAACCACTGGTGTTTCCGTCAGAACCTAGGGGCCTGGGACACAGTGCAGAGCCCTATGCCCAAAGGAAGCTGTCTTGCAGGGCCAGTCATCACAGTGAAATGGAAATTCAAGAAACCTGGCCATCCCCTCTGACATGAGTCCTTGGAATGAGTAACAGTTTGGAAAGATCTCCTTTTCCTGTGATTTTCTGAGTTACTAACAACTTCTGAGTTCACGGCCTTCAACGTTCATTCCTTTTTTTTTTAATAGTTCACTTTTTTTTTTTTTTTAAAATTTGAGGGAGATAGAGAATGCACAAGCTGGGTGTGGGACTAGGGGCAGAAGGAGAAGCAGACTCCCCATGTGAAAGGAGCCTGATGCAGAGCTTGATCCCAGGACCCTGAGATCATGACCTGAGCTGAAGACAGACACTTAACTTACTGAGCCACCCAGGTGCCCCAATAGTCTACTTTATTTTGCTATGTATCTTGTTTCCAGATTTTGAGGGATAATAGTACATCTAGCTACTTAGCTCACTTTAGATTATCTCCATGGTTGTCTTCTTTCTTACTCTCTATGTAGATCACAATCCAGAAAAAAGACATGAAAGTAGGGTACTTTTAGGGTCCCCCCCTCTAGTTTTACCAAGGAGGATCTTTTAAAAATGCATTTTGCATTTCTTACCAGCTTTCATGATTGAAGTGTGAGCCACTTGATCTGCAGTACAGAAGATGAGGCTAGCTTGGTCTTGGTGGGAGCTCTGCCAGACGGTGTTCCACGAAGCTGCCCATTTCTAGCCGGAAATAGACAACAAGGAGAGGATGAGTATGTGCTAAGACAAAGAAGCTGGTCACCTATCAAATAACATCCCCAAGAAGCTCAAATTCTCTGATCCTTCCTCTAAGTGGAAGTGAGAGACTTATTTTAAAGCTAAACATGAATTTTTTTTTAAACAGGAATTTCTTAAAATCAGGAATTGTAGATAACTTATTTTGTAGTAACTTCCTTTGTGAGTCAGATCTGAGGCACTCAGTAGTTCCTCACTGAATTGAATTAATGACATTCCGTTGAAGGAATACGGATATGGATGAGACAGTGGATTACAGTGAAGCCTCCTTTCTTAGACTCATAGACACTTGATGCGTCTCAGATGCCTTTTTCCCCCTGAATGCTTGAGTAGAAACTTTCAGAAGCTGGTGTTCTTAATCTATTTGTTAGTTCTTCCATGTACCACTATGGCTTCCGTGGAAGGGCTTTAAAATTTTTCATTAAGTTAATTTCATTAAGAACACTCAACATACTTCCAAGTGTATCATACAGTATTGTAATCTACAAGCACAATGTTACAGAACAGATCTCTAGAACTTACTCATCTTGCATAACTGAAATTTATACCCACTGATTAGCAACTCCCTTTTCCCCCCTCTGTCTAACGGTTGGCAACCACCATTTTATTCTTTGCTTCTAGGAGTTTGACTAATATAGGGAAAAAAAAAACTGTAAGTAGAATCCTACAGTATTTGTCCTTCTGTGACTGGCTCATTTCACTGAGCATAATGTTCTGGAGAAAGAGAACTGGCATATACATAAAGAGGGTATTATTCAGCCTTAAAAAGGGCAATCCTACAATACATGACAACACTGATAAAGGGGTTCATTTACTCACTCACTGAATCCACGTTGAGTTGCAATTCTGGGTTAGGCAGTCATCATGAATTGTTGTAGATTTCTACTCTGAAGTAGTTGACAAGACAAGTGATCTCTTTTTGGTATGCATGTCCATTCCTACACATGTATATGTAGTTATTGATAAATTATAACTCTGCATTAGTCTAGGAGTATCTGCTATAAAATGGTCACAATAATAGAAATTTTAAAGATGAAATAAATATAACATAGATAATATTTTAATTATTTTCATTTATTACAGGTATAAAAGTTCTTTTAACCTCATTAACTATATTTAGAAGGTGAAGTACTGTTTAATATGTCTAAATTGATTTTTTACATCTTTGTGATACTCAAATTTGAAGATCTGGGTCTAAGTTCAACTGACTTAAGTACTTTGAGTGGACGTCATAACTGAAAAAGATACTATGCAAAGATCCTGAGATCCAAATAAAAATAGTATATTGTTGGCTGTGCTAAATGAATTACAAAAATCATTTCTTAACTCCTTCTTCTGATTTTGCAAAATATTTTTTTATTTTTGTTTTTTTTAAGATTTTATTTATTTAACTGACAAAGAGTGAGCAAGATACTGAAAGAGAGAGCACAAGCCAGGGGAATGGCAGGCAGAGGGAGAGGGAGAAGCAGGCTCCCTGCTGAGCATGGGGCCTGATGCAGGGCTCAATCCCAGGACCCTGGGATCATGATCTGAGCCGAAGGCAGATGCATAATGACTGAGCCACCCAAGCACCGCAGTTTTACTTTTAAATCTGAAGAGTGAAATGCCATCTTAGCTGACATTACCTAGACTGACAAACTCATTGAAGATATTGCCTTTTTGTATTTTTAACACACTGAAATAAAACTACTCAAAATCTTTATCTGGAAAGTTCTTAAACAAGCTCAAACAATCTGCTTGTACTTAAAAAAAAAGAAGTAAAGGGGGAGGGGAAAGATGGTGGAGGAGCAGGAGACTAAGTATCATCGCATCCTAGGAGTTCAGCGAGATAGTTATTGATGAAGTTCTAGAACCTAGGTGAGGTTCGGTGGGGTGAGGTCTGGAGCCAATGACCAAGAAAGAATTCTTGAGACATTTTTGGTGTAAAATGGTGGTTTGTTAAAGCATGGGGACAGGACCCATGGGCAGGAAGAGCTGCTGTCCCATTATCCTGAGGAGTGGCTGATTATATACACAGGAGTTGGGCAGGTGAGGACAAAGGGGGTGTTCAGAAGGGCTATCAGGGTAAAGAGACTGTCAGGATATTGGAGACCTGGTTATTATCAAGCCAAGGCCATCTTTCCCTCTAATGAGGCACTAACATGAAGACAGTTGGGAGTTTCCTGGT